TTCATACTCAGATTTCCTAGATTGTCTCAGAAATATCTTTTTATAGTTGTTCTGTTTGAGTAATGTGTAAGGCCTACACATTACATTGAGTTGTTGTATCTCTTAAGTCTCTTTCAATCTAGAATGTTCTCGCCCCCACCAGCATTTTCTTTTCATGTCATTGACCTGTTAAAGCTCCTGCATCAAAGTCCTATACAACTTCCCATATCTCAGATTTAGCTGATTGTTTTATTTGTTCCTCTATTGCTTGTTTTTTTTTTCTATAAAATTGAATTTAACTTTATGGGCTTAAATTCCATTTCCCTCTCCCCCTCTGCCTCCTTCCTCCTCCTCAAGGGTGCTTTCTAGGTCGTGCAAAATTATTCTATTGCATCAAATCAGGTAGCACATAATGTCTGATTGTCCCACTTTAGTGATGTTACGATTGATCATTGGGTTCAGATGATAACAACCTAATTCATCCGTTGTAAAATTCTTTGTCATTCTTTGATCTACTGGTTTCATCTAGTGATCCTTTTTTTTCCTGGGTCAATTACTTTTTCAGGAGTTACAAAATGATGATTTTCTAATTCCATCACCATTTCACATTTATCAGTTAAAATTCATACACTAGAGCTATTTGGCTACTCTGAAATACAGTTTATACAGACAAGTTAAGCTCCCCTTTTAAATTCAGTAATGTATTTTACATCAGTTCTAAAAAAAAAAAAAACCAACAACCCTGAACAATCAACAATTTTTCTACCCTATAAATGCCCAAACTGCTCCCTGTAATGAAGCAATGGGATTGGTCATTGCATTGTGCAGGAAAGCCTCAGCGAGAGCAGCACAGATCCTGCCATCAGGCGTTTCCTTCTTCACATCCTTTTCACTCAAAACAGGCCAGTTCCCTGACTCCCAGCCTCCCTGTAAAATATGGCAGCAAGATCTTGGTGCTTATGGGTCTGAATGAAAGCCCGGATGTGCGCTGCTGCTTTTCTCTGCTTGTTTAAACCTCCATCGGGCACAATTGATCTCACAGATTCATTGCACACAAATGTTCAAATATCTAACAGTGAACTTAAGTATCATGACTCATCGCTTCCGTATCTTCCCCCTTCACCGTAACCTATCGCCAGTCATGTTTGTGACTTAGTACAGTAAAGATGTACTTCATAGCGGCATCTTTGTATGCAATGAATCTGTGAGATCAGTTGCACCTGACAGAGGGTTAAATACATCCCTTCCTATGCATCTATTTACCCCAGAAACACCAAAGGCAATTTTCGCACCTTAGGCCCAGCTCGGGTGTTGCTGTGCTTGCTAGCATTTGCATCTATGAAAGGAAAACCTGTAACCCCCAAACAAGCTGATCGCCTTGCCAAATTACTTTGTTATTGTATAGTTTGCTTGCACTTTTTGTGGCAGCGTTTCTATTTCTGAATCTTGGCATCAGCTCTGCTGCTGCTGGACTCTAGGAGGTCTCCATGTCCTGTCAACTGTATGACTTCTTTTTACTTCTTTTCTGTTCTCATTACCCCCATCCTGCTTACGTCTCTCTGCCCAAAGGCCTCTTGTCCAATTTTCTTTGTTTCCTATCCTGATGAAATATTCTCGGCTCCCCTCAGCAGTGCCCATCCTCCTACAGGCAGAAGTCTGAACATCCTAGCTTTGCGCTTATGTCTGCACAGCCCGGCCTCAAACACCCCCTCTCCACTCTCCTCCTCTGCCGGTCAGAGCAGTGCGCTCACTGGCCCTTCGTATCCAGCCTCCTGTGCCATGGCAGAGGTGCCCATTTCTTGCTGTGCCCAGTGTGTGTCCCAGGGGCCCATTACCTCCACTGTGAACCACGCAAGCTGTGCCACTCCAAGAACCTTGCACATCCCTGCGCTCGTGGCTGCTCCCAGAGCACCCACTCTGTCATGGTCGGGAAGCTGTCACACTCCTCTGTCCGCGATTTCATGTGCCTCATGCCTGCAGCTACACTGTACCCTAGCCAAGGGCAGGGGCTCACCTGGGACTTCTCTGAGTCCCTTACAGCACTGGGCACAGAACCTGGCGTCTCGTAGGGACTCCTTCCCCTCACTTCACTCCAACTCCTGTTTTAGTCCTCGCGGCCTCAGGGACTCCTCCCTGATGCCTTCTGTGGTTCAGGCTCTCAGACTAGCCTTGAGTTCTGACAGCCGTGTGGCTGAAGACGACTTGCAGGCCCTCCGCTCCTCATCACCGTCACACACGGTAAAGTTGATGAAAGCCCCTGCCCTCAGTGGGGAACGTCTCCCAGCAGGAGCAAGCGTCTCCAGGTTTCCTTGGGGTGCTATTCCAGCAAGTTCTCATGATTCTTATTCCATATGTCAGCTGGGAGGCCTCCAGGAACAGTCCAGGCGCACCCCCTGCACCCCTGCCGGGCTGGGAGTGCTCTGTAAATATTTATGTGACAGACCCCTCACACACACTGCCGCCCCTCCATCTCCTTATTAAACTCCACTTCATTCTGTAGTATCTTTAAGCCACCAGTGCAGGGACCCTGCATGGCCCAACTATGCACCACCTCTGCCGTCATAGAACCGATGCTTTCCTTTCCTTCCGCTAACTGACATGACAGACCTCCACTTAGTAGAGTGATTACTAGTATAAAATTACTTTTTGGCCTTTGAATTTCATTATGCCACATTTATAGCAATAAAATAAAATCTCAAATCCAGGTGTGCTTTTCACAGAAAGTGTCCAGGGCAATTACCTGCCGATAATGGTGTCCTGTCCTTAAGCCTTTTGTCTGGAGATCTTAAAATCTTTTTCACACAAGCAGATAATGATGTTCATTCTGCAAGGGGTGAGGTGAACTGATTGATCTCTTGGCACACTGAGGCGATGCTGAGAAATCCAGGCCCAGGTGTCTCCTTTGTTCCTCCCCCTGCCCCTCCCTTTTCAGCTCTTTCAAAAAAGAAAGGCCCACCTTCTATTGATTTAAATACCTCCTTCTCAAATACTGCTTTCCACTTTTTGAAGAGCATGAATGAAAAGTTTCCATATCACATTTCACGGAGGGGCGGGGGAGCTGAGGCCCAAGGAGAGAGAATGGTTTGTAGATAAGTGCACACTTGCCAGAGAACGTAGGTGTCTGTCCTGGCAGATCTACCTCATCTCTGTCACACAGCAGAGCGTAAATGTGGGCTCCGTGACTTCATAAATGAAACCCAGTCAGAAGAGAGCTGAGTCCACAGCAAGCCCTACCTACATCACGACTCGTAGGGTCGTCTTACTGATATCCACGGGAAGGCCCCCTGGTCTCTGGAGCGCGCCCTTGCTCGTGCTAACGGTTTGGATGTCCTTCCTCCTCCCGACTCAGCCAAGCCTTCCCCAGTCCTGGGGAGCCAGCTGCAGTCCTGTCTCCATCCTCCAGGAAACCTTCACTGGTCCAACCAACCATCAGCCACGTCTCTCTCTATATAACTCCCATTTCATTTTCTTAGTTCAATGTAACACACTTGAATTGAGCATTTCCATGCACTTAAGTCAGGCCTCATGGGGCACTAAATCACGCTTTGTTTTGTAATATTTTTAAACTATTGTGTGAATGTTTGTCGTGTGTCTAATGAAAGTATTGGGCCTTGAAGGAAAAGTTCATATATATACAGTGTCGTGTGTCCCCAAGCTCCAGGAATGATCTTGTACATACCGCAGGAGCTCAGTAGGCTCTAAGAATAGCAGATGTGGGCCGGCCGAGTGGCACGATGGTTAAGAACTGGCTTGGGATACCAGAGGGCCCCGGTTCGGATCCCACATATGAGGGCCAGTGACACTGCCCTCCACAGCTAAGATGCTGAACAACAGCTCAACCTGGAGCT